TCTCTTTTTCCTGTCATATTGAAGACCCATGTTTTTAAATTAGACCGTGTGGAGTTTTTGATCACTTTTTATTTAATGACTGAATAGTGTGAGTCTGAAATAAAAATCAACTCATTATGAGTTTTCTGAAACACATTTTAAATCTAATATTGGATGTTACTAATTTTATCTTTTTAAGCTATTATTTCTACTTCTACTAAAATTACTACTACTGTGATCCATTTTATATAGTTCAATTGTTCGGCTAAAAGGAATATATATGTTAAGATTTTTGATATAAAAACCAACTTACTCTCCAGAATGGTTATATCATTGCAATTCATGCTGCCATCAGGAGCATATCACAAACATTACCAATTTTCCTGAACCTTGTAAGCATTCACTAGTAGCATTCTCCTTAATCTCCTCAATTTACCTCACTTTCCCTTCTCCCCCATGAAAAAGCTGGTTCCCAACTCATCAATTCAGTACTCATTTGCTCTATCACAGCCATGCAGCCCTCATATTTTCAAAATTACTATATTCTCACAACTACAAAAAAAGAGGAGAAAACAAAAAGGAACCAAAAACTACTAAATAAAGTTCAAGCTATCTTGCAGTTGCTTTTTCCTCCTAGAATATGTTGCACTGCAGTAGAAAAATCAGAGAACTGTGGCCAAAATATTCTTTAATTAATTCTTCACTCTGTGTAGTTTTGTTGTCAGTCTGTACAAAGATGGAGCCCTTATTTTTTTATTTAAATTCAGTTTTAAGGTTTGCTTTTTCAAACTTTTTAAATTTAGTTTTATTTTTGAATTTCTGAGACACATATTGTTCAAAACTCAAAGCTGTATACAAAGTTCTACTTAAAGAAATCCCATTTCCGTGTCTACACGATCCACCACATTCTCAACCAACTGTATAGGTGACCATCTCCACTTGATTCCAATTTATCCATACTGTGTTTGTTTTTGCAAAAATGAGTGTATATGAATAAATGCATATATGCACACATTGTCCTATTTCATCCTCTATCTCACACAAAGGTAGAATACTATATAATTTCTTTTTCACCTTGCTAACTACCTAACAATATGTCTGGAATCCCAATAAAATAGTTAATGGACACCTTTCCCATTGATTTTTATGACATTTTAGTACCTCAATTTTTTGCTGTATCTTGTTTATATACAACTAGCCACCAGGACATGGACCTTTTCATAATTTGTAATAATTTGCTGGATACATAATGCCCCATGCATATTGCTGTACAAATAATGCCCTTGTATGCATATGGTTTCCTGTTTGAGGTGTATATTTAAGGTGTATTTCTACAATTGGTATTGATGAGTAAAGCAGTAAATATATATACCATTTTACTATATGTTACAAAAATCCCCTTCATAAGGATTGTAACATTATGCACTCCCACTCCTTTCCAAGGACACTGTCAGCTGATATTTAGTTCAATATACTTAAAAGTATAAATGTTTGTACTAACAGAGATTTTTATCTTTTATACGTGGTAGCACTAAAAGCAAATACCTGTTATGTAGCCAGTATGTTTTGGATAATTGATTGACTTTGTATTTATTGGTTTAAATTATTGTTAACATTGCATAAATGTATATGTCTGCATATGTAAATATTAACCAGTATAATCCAATTTTAGATAGCAGGCTCAAACAGGGTCTACGTAATATCTGTTATTTGAGTAGTTTAAATTAAAATTCCAAGAATTTATGGGCTGATTTTATAGCAGTTTTTGAATGTTCTAGAGAAAATCATTTGTAGTGTTGGATATGTTCTTCAGAAGTGCCATTTAAATGTCATCTTAAAATATACTTTGAAAAATAATCTGAGAAATTTCCCATTCAAGGAAAGTTTTGATTCTGTTTCAGTCTCCACTGATATTTTCCTCTTGAATGTGACGTTGAAGTGTAATATCTCTTTATATTTTCCTTAGGTCGGGAAAGGCCCAGACATCTCAACATTGACGATTACTGGGAGAGCTTCCTCAATAAGACTTCTGCGTTCAAGATTGGTGGTTTGAGTCGGACACAAGGTACAGGATTTCTACCTTATATTCTGTCATTCTATCTGCTATCACATTTCAGAGATTATGAAATATATGTTGTCTTAATAAATATTTAATAAAAATTAGATATACAATTTAAAAATTTTGACAAATTTTCGTAAATTGATAGAAAAATATGGATGGTATAACTTTATGTATATTCATTACATCTGCACTGTTTTTCATTCCATAACACACAAGTACAACTTGCAAAATATTTTATCTTTGAGATTTTGAATGATTAAATGTCATACCACTTGATGCATAAGTATATGAGTCAGAGAAGATTTTGGAAAATTTAAAATAACTAGTGTACTAAAGCTACTCACACTTATGAAAAATAATTGCATCTTTGCAAAGCTAATGATTCCCTGAAAATTTATTGCAGCATGTCTATCTATTTGTACTGTATATGAATCATCCCATCTGCATGTTGATGAATAGGAAAAACTCTAAGGCATAAGAAATAATGAAGATTTAAAAAATATGAATTTTCTTAAAATAATGTTTGTTTTAATTACAAAAAACTAATCATTATGGTTATGGTAAATATAAACTATGAATTATCTTAACATAATTAATACAAAACTACTAACTGAAATCAGTAACCACTACTAACATCCCAATACAAATGGGTTCATGACTTTCTTTTATATTTACTGTAGTCATTTATGTCAGCATCCTAAATCTCATCGATCTTAATTATAATTTATATTGTTCTTACTGTCTTCAACTGTTTTTCAAATTTAATCCAGTTTTCTGGTGGATTCCTTATTGATTTCTCCAGTCCCTGCCGTGACTTGTCTTTACAATAAGCAATGCACACTCTGCCCGTGCAGTGGGTCAACAGTTCAACATGTACTCCCTGCTGTTCCATATAATAAAATCTCCAAAGGGGTTTCTTTTTACTTTCTAGAAACTTCTTGTTTGCTCTGATATTCTTGCATGGTATAATATTAGTGTTAGGGATGGTCCTGATGATCTGGGGAACATAAACATTAAGAGTAAATGGACATGGGAGCTCTATTTCTTACACTGATTTTGGCGTTTTTAGGGACTTTGGGATTCATTGACCATATTGTAAAAATTACCTCTAGGGATAATCTCATATACTATATAAAGCATTCGTAACCTTAAAACTAAGTCTTTCTACATCTAAGTGCAACATTTCCTTGGTGAATATTTGAGGCTCTGTTCTTGACCAGTGTTTACCTAAATGTGTAGAGTGGAATATTAATTTCAAGGAATGGAAATAGGTATGATGTTAACAAAAAGAAAAACTAAGTTCTGTGCTCAAATAAATTTGTGAAATACCAGCTTAAACAAAAGTTTCTTTATGACAAGTTTTCCTAGGACTTTTTCTTCTAATGCCGTGTGTATTTCCATAGGGAGGAAATGCTATATTTTTTTGAACATATATCTGGCCAAGAAACATACCTTTATAAATGTGCTCTCAGATGAACTGATTCAGCAGAGGGGTTCTAAACTTGTATCCTCCAATTTGCCGTATAATGTGACAGTGCCTTCAGTTCAATTCAGTTAAGTGCTAGCCGTTAAAAGGAGACCAAGTGACAGCTGGCCAGACTAGTATGTGTACCTCAGATACGAATGCTGCTGTTTCATTCCATGATAAGCTTTTCTCTGCATCATCCTAGTCTCAACCTGACTTTACCAACATTTTGGTCTATATGTGACAAAAAGACATGGATAAAACTAATTTCTGCAAAAATTCCTTATATTAACTTCTTCCTGAAATTTCAAGTTCTTTTGCATTTATGAAATCCTTTAATAAAATTGGATCTCTATATATTATGGTATTGGCCAACACTACAACTCTAGCCATTGACGCTATTTTTTTACATTGGAAAGACATTTTATTCCTCCAAGGAAATATTTTTTTCTAGAACTTTTCTTCCTTAGAATGAATTCCATTCTATGCTATAGATAACTAGATGCATCATTTTGTTTTTAACAAGCTCACTGTTCTTTTTCTTATCTTTCTCTCAAAATGGGTGACAGGAGCTAGACAGGAGGGGGAAAAAAGGTCTTCCTGTCAGTAAAGAATCTTAACCTGCCAGGTTTTCATTTTGAAGCTCATTCTTGTCTACACATCTAATTAGGCCAAGTAACCAAGAATGAGACAAGAGTATAGATGAATTGTAATCTCAGAAGACATCCTTCTACAAAGCTTATACATTTATAAGACTTGCAGTGTTCTTTTTCTCTTTCACTAGGAAATAATCCAATGTCACTGAAGCAAAATCAAGATTAAACCTTTGAGGAAAAAATCTTAGCTGTAACATTTTCCTGGGTCCTCTGATTGTGATATTTAAAAAAATGGTGGGAGGAGGATTAGCATTGTTATATATCATACTGTAGCACTAGGGAATAAGGTGCTACTTTACAAATGTGCATCTGTATAAGATGAGACTTTAGGAAGGGAGCCAAGCTGCAGGGCCTGGGCATTAGACTTGTAGTCGGAGAATCTGTGTTCTGGTTTTGACCGTAACATGGAAAAGTTGTATTAGCTTGAGGTAGTTTCTGACCCCTCTAGACCCCATTTTGGACATTATAAAAAAAATGAAAATCAGTTTTACCTAACAGGATATTTTTAGGAAGAACAAATGTACTTGTGTGTCTGAATAAATTTCTAAACACTAAAATTATACACAAGCATTGGTTATTAGTATTGTTTGTATAGGTGAAGATAGGCAAATGCAACCATGGGTTCCTGATTGTCTTCGGTTTTATAAGAAACAAGACCTAACACTGCCAGTACATGCCAGCAAATGTATTTCTGAAAAATGAACAAAGAAATATGTAATAGTTATTCTTCTTCTGAAATCTGGTTTTTTCCCTAGGTAAAACAATTACTAGGACAAATGATTTTAATTTTCATCAGTTACTCATTGATGAAATAGTCTTGTTTTCTTGGTGAATACCAGTTTTCTAGAAAAGGATTTCTTACAGAACAGTAGATATCTATTTCTATATAGATAGCTATATTTTAAAAGTATCCAACTTTGTAAATATCTATATTTATGTCTGTATCTATATTTTTAAAATAACCCAACCTTGTTCTTCCTTTTGATATCCCTAATCCTTTATGTATTCTACTCTTATTCAACATTTCCATTTAAAAAAATCATCAAATTTCAGTTTTTCATATACCACTTTCACAAATTTTGGCATACTTTTGTCTCATTTATATAATAATTTACTTAATAGTATTTTAATGGAAACCAGTGTCACTTCCCATGAGCAATAGCACTGTACTCTGTGCCAGGAACAATTTTAAGCACTTTACAAATATTAATTGATTTAGTCCTCACATCAACCCTATGTGATAGAGTCTATTAATACCCCTATGTGAGAGAGGAGTATACTGAGACATATAGGAGCTATGCCCCAAATCACATAGACAATACATGCTGGAGCATGGGTTTGAATGTAGGGCTTGGGTTCTTGCCCAACTACACAATACTGTGATAAACAGAAGATAGCTATAAAATATCAATTAATAAATGATGAAATAAAACTTTAAAATATCTGTCCAAGTTTCACTCAGAAGTATCTTAAGTATCATTATTGCAAAACAGTTTTGCTGGGAAGCTGTCTCCGAGAAGGAAGTGAGTATGCAGGAAGTTTATTAGGGAGTCCTCTCAGGACCAACACCCCTGAGGAAAGAAGAGAATGAAGCAAGACTGAGCAGAGGGAGAAGCTGGGGGCAGAGGTATCAGCTCACACCGTGGCAAGCACTGAAACTAGGACAGCTCTTCAGAGTTGCCCCAATTTGGAATAAGGAGGCCAGGATTTTATACCTTCATTCCCCCCGCTCCCGACCACTGCCCACATCAATCCATTAGTAAATGCACTCTGCCCCAGGAAAGGAGTTAGACCTTGGTCAGGTGACTCTCTTCGGCTGAAGGCAACTCCCCCAGAGAGTTGATATCTAGGTACTGTATACTGGCAATAATCTCAATAACTTGGAGCATAGAGTCACGAAGATATATTCCTCTTTTTACTAGAAGCATTATTGTTTAATTTTCCTGAAACATAGCTCAATAATTTTAAATATGGTGCGGCACAGGAGTCAAGGTTCATTTTATTCATTATGTAGACCATATTGTCCTAGTACCATTTATAGAAAAGGCTATCCTTTCCTTCATTGAATTGCAGTGACACTTCTTCCGAATCTGGTGACAGTATTTCTATGAGTCTATTCTTGCACCAATACCATACTGTTTTAAGTATTATAGCTATATGGCAAGTCTTGTTATGTTGTAACATAAATCCTTCCAAGTTTTCCTCTCTTTCAAGATTTTCTTAGTTATTCTAGATCCTTTGCACTTTCCTAAGAATTTTAGAATTAGCTAGTTAATTTCCAAACACAAACAGATGCACAGATACATAGACACACACACACACCACTGCTAGGACTGTTATTTAAATTGTATTGAAACTATACATTGATTTGGGGACAGCTGGCATTTTAGAAATATTGTTACTGAGTCTTTCAATCTGAGAACATGGTATTTCCTTCCATCTATTTATCCAAATGGCTGTTTCTCCAAGATTTATTTAAAAACCCATCTTATCCCCACTGATTTGATATGCCAACATTATCATGGACTACACTGCCATATGTACTTGGGTTCTTTCTGGATTATCTCTACTATTCCACTGATCTCTGTCTTTAAGAGCCAAAACTGCACTCTTTGAATTAGAGAGGCATTATGGTGCACTTTAATATGTGTTGAGGATAGCTCTCCCACATTACTTTTCCTTTTCAGGGTTTTACTGGCTCTTCTTCCCTGTCTCTTTATCTATATGAACCTTATAATAAACTTGACTACCTCCAGAGAAAACTTGATAGAGTATTTATTGGGATTATTTTAAATTATAACTTTATACACGTAGGAAGAAATGACATTTCTGTGATATTGAATCTTTGTATCAATGTCGATTTTATCTATTTTCACTAATTC